TATCCAGATTTTGTTGAGTCCCATGAAGAATTTGAAGATCTTTTTGCTCAACAAAGAGTCTAAATGTCCGAGGATCATTTGGATAACTCCATTGATGCTCCTTGAAGGTATCCAGTTGCTGCCTGATTCGGGTTAGTAAATTAAAGTACTGAGTAATAGAAAGCTCACCCTCACGCAGCTCATGGAGAGTCAACTCCACCTCGAAGACGGCGGAGACGTTATCTTTGCTGGAGTACGATTTGCGATCCGCTTCCCAGATTTCATTCACTGTTTCATATAGCATGAAGTTCTCACCAATGTCGGGCACCATTGAGTTAGTAAGCCACGACATTACCATGTTATTCTCTATTTTCTAGATGCAGAAATTTGGGTTGCTGGTTTCGGGAGGGATAGTTTCACCTGTGAGGTAATCGCCGCGGCCCTTGCCACGAATAAACAGTAAGACAGAGGTTGACCATTGAAGGTAATTTTGTCCGTTCAGTTTGTGCCCCGTGATGAACAATGATGCCTGCTCAACTAGGCTGTGGTTTGGAGTTGCGGGGAGGTAGGGACCCTTTAGAGACTTCGGGAGGAGAGGAATTGAGCTCGCTTGTGGCCATTTGAATTCTAGCTCAGTTGAAGAAAGCTCTCGGATCAGTCTCTGATACCATGAAGAGTTTTGTGGGAGATTTTTGTGAAAGAATTCCCTTGTTTTTCTCTTATTAATTTCAAGCACCAAAGGGTGCCATTTATCGAAGAAAAAGGAGATATCTTTTCAGAAATGTGAGGAAGGTGTGGTAACAGATTTCTGTTGTTCCCATGCCACCTCACTTATTAGAAATATTCCATTATGTGTAACAGAATGGAGAATAAGAAGTACCTAATTTATTACAACATTTTCTACAGTATTCTTTCCAGTTATGAAACACAGTTCTATCAGAGTCTTACTTGTTATGGTTGCTCTTCATAATTTAGAGTTGGAGCAGTTTAGATGTAAAAACTGTATTTCTACATGGTGAATTGGAGGAATAGACCTATATGAGTCAGCCCGAGGGATTTGTTTGTCTATTTAAGAAATCTTTGTATGATTTAAAACAGTCGCTTACACAATGGTATAAGAGATTTGATACATTCATGAGACAGAATGACTTCATTCATAGTGCTTATGACAGTTGTATGTATCAAAAGAAACTGTTAGATGATTCTACTATTTATTTGCTATTATATGTAGATGACATGCTTATTTATGCCAAAGACATATCACAGATTGATACTTTAAAATGACAGTTGGGTGAAGAGTTTGAGATGAAAGATTTGAGTACTGCAAGAAAGAAACTGGGAATGGAGATTATTAGGGATAGAAGTGTTGGAAAACTTTTCTTATCTTAGTAATCATATGTCGAGAAGGTACTGCAACGTTTCAATATGAGCAACGAAAAGCCCGTAACTGTTCCAATTAGTACTCACTTCAAGTTATCTGCACACATATCACCGAAGACAGATGAAGACATGGAGTATATGTCCAGTGTTCTATACTCAAATGCTGTAGGTAGCATTATGTATGTTATGGTTTGCACTCGTCCTGATATTTCACTTGTAGTTTTTGTAGTGAGTAGATACATGGCATATCCTGAGAAATAACATTGGCAGACAGTGAAATGGATTCTAAGGTACTTAAAGAGTACATTAGATATGGATATGATGTTTGACAAAACCAAGATGAATGACTCAGTTTTAGGTTATGTGGATTCAGATTTTGCAGGGGATTTAGATAAGAGGAGATCTCTGACAGATTATCTATTTACTCTATCCAGAAGTGTTATTAGTTAGAAGGCAACGTTGCAAGCTACAATGGCCTTGTCTACCACAGAGGCTGAATATATGTCTTTAACAGAAGCAGTAAAAGAGGTTATTTGGCTACAGGGTTTGGTGAGTGATCTTGGGTTAACACAGAAAAAGTTGACAGTATTTTGTAACAGTCAAAGTTTCATACATCTCACCAAGAACCTGATGTAACATGAGCAAATAAAATATATTGATATCAGATATCACTTCATCCAATACATTGTATTATAGAGTATCATTGTTGTGCAAAAGGTATTTACACAGGAGAATCTTGCGGATATGATGACCAAAGCAATCCTAGTTAGCAAGTTTAAACATTGCCAAGGGGAAGGTCATTTCCTTTTATGTTGAAGAGAATTTAAGCCAAGGGAAAGATTTGTTGATATGACTTAAATTTTGATGATTTTAATTATGAGAGTATTTTTGTAATCATCATAGGAGTTAGTATTATGTGTATTATGAGAATATAACAAAAAACTCTAAAAGCTTTCTTATATATCAGTTGGCTAACCTGTACATGTTGTACTCTCTTTTGATCATAGTAGAATATTTTTTTTTGTTGGTTTTACCCGTGAGTGTAGGCGTACTAGCGAATGACATAAAATCCTGTGTTATTTTCTTTTTTGCTTTTACTTTGTGATTGTGCATGCTTCAGGAATTTCTTTTCCCAACAATAGTCTTTTTTCTCAGTATTGCTTTGAAAGAGCTTATCTGTTCTTGGCTTCGTGGGCATTTATACTTTTTGGGTATAAGACTTCTTCATAAGGAATAACTTCCGTTCATGCATATTGTTTGTTCTTCACTCAAATTATTAGTTTCTTATTTATTTTATTGAGATAGCAAAATATTTATAAAAGATCTTTATGAAGTTTACTTTTTTAATTTCTTTTTCAGTCTTTTAGTTTTAAACTAATAAAAATGTTCTTGAAAATAACAAAAAAATTTGTTTTCAAACTTAAAAGGAAAGAAACAATTTGAGATGGAGATGCAATATGAATGGTATATGACAAACCTTTTGATTGAAAATTTTATCGTATTTTTTTGTTTGTGACTATAGTGGTTTTTACAGGAAGAATGTGAGGGATTGCGGCAACAAGTGAAAAATGGTCTGCTTGAAAAACCAACTGTTGTAAGTTCTCTCAATTTTGCTATTACATTTGAAAGTTAATACATGTAATTCTAGTGATATTGCCCACTTATTCAAGCCTGAAAAAGAAAACAAACATTTTCTAAAAGGAAAAAAAAAAAGAACCCAAATAAAGAAAATATGGTCATAGAATCTGTAAAAGATCTGGAAAAATTTTATCCCTTGTTTCTATGTAAAGGTCACTGTGGAAATTATTCTGTCAAGATTGCTGTCATATAGGGGATAAAGGAATTTTCTAGTTGAAGCGTAGGCTGCTTGACGGATGAAGCTATCAACTTTGTCTACTTCTGCAGTAGTTCTTGCTTAAGAATATTTTGCACTTTAGACCTAGAAAAACTATATTTTTATCTTGTTGTATGCATGAATTAGATAATTAAATATATAATTTTTATTTATATATATAATATTTATCATTACAAGTATAATAATAAAATAATTGATAAAAATTAATAATAATGTGTACAAAAAATATCATGCAGAAAGGTAAATTCTAGACCTAAGTTTACTCCGTAGTTTGAGAACAAACCGTATGTAAGAGGCTTAAACTTTAATTCAAAATAAGTTAGATTTATAAAATAAGCTAGGATTCTTCATTTTTTACAAGGAAAAAAAAAAAGAAGGCTTCATTTATTGGTCTTTTAACTTTGCCTTTTACATTTCAAAAACACTTCTACAATCAAACAGGTAAAATTGAAAGTGTTTTTGGCAAAAATCGAAGTTGAGATTTGTTTTTGACTGGTTTAAATAGAAAAACTATCTTTTGTAGTTTAGATAATGACTTTTAAATACATCCACAAAAACTTCAAACGCAAACTAAACAACTACAATGGGAAATAAAATCTTACCAAACATATAGTTTTGTTTTATTAAATTGACAACACTTTTGGTAGTTATTTCTACTAAATATCAAACAACTTTTTAACTAAAATAATTTTTAGTAAATAATTATTTAACAATATTTTAGAACTTAATACAAGTTATAGAGTCATGAAATATATTGACATGATACTAAAGGGATGCAACCCAAAGAAAAAAACAACTTTATAAATCTAGCAAAGTTTTAACAAGATCTCTAAATCTTGAGCGTAACTAAGAGGATGATCCATAATAAAAAAAAATGATAGTAAAAGGTCTCCACATATAACTCACAAGGTAGGCAAAGCCGCAAAGGGATTAGGTCTTCTTATGATGCTTATCACCTCTGATGCGTCTATAAGCCCAAATCTCTATTGTCCAAAGACCTGGCTAATTCCTAAAAGACCATACACAATACTCAAGAGCCAAAAAGAAAGGGGCCAACAAAGGTGTTAGATGATTCAGTTGATCTCTTGCAAAAATAATATCTGCTCACTAGGATTTTTTCATTTTTTTCTCATGTTGTCTAGTAAGATTATCTGACTTGCTGCTTGCCAAGAAAAATAAAAATTTAAGGGAGGTGTTAAGCTTCCAAATATACTTAGAGGTGAAATTCTTTTTGTTCATAGCAATGCTCGCCAAATGGAAGTAAAGAAATTTCACTGAGAAAAACATTAGATCCCAGCTTCCAAATCAACTTATCTAAATCATCACATGGACATCTAAAATGGTAGGAAAACAGAAGGAGATTAACATATTTATTCACCTCCCAATCATTGAGGTTCTTGATTAGGTCAACTTCTCGAAGTCATATACTGAAACTGAGTTTTTATTTCCATTATATGTTAATATTCAAATAAGGCAAGCTCTATCCTCAAAATCCACATGGTTATGTCATATGGGGTCCTCTCATGTAGGAATTCCGTGCAAACTTTAAATTCTTTGAAATGCTAGAGTCAAATAATTCGCTGTGACTGAAGAAAATATGTCTCATTTCCCCCTCAAATAAATATAAATGAAGTTTAGGAAGACTGTACTAGTAAAGAGTTCTCTAGCAACTGATATTTCAATTTGACCATAAGATGGATAAACATTTTGAATTGCAAGATGCTTTATCTTTTTCAAAAAAGAAATCTATTCTTTGATAATCATTATTTTTCTAATTAGTAGTAATCTGGGTTTCAACCATGTTTTTCTTGGCAGGTTGAGTTTGAGCAGAAGGCCAGAAGTCTACATGAAGATATAATGAAGCATGTTCGTATTCCTAAAGTTGATACTCTCATTAGCTTTGCTCATAATGTTTGTAAATCTATGCATGCATTATTCACATGTATGTGTCTGCCCGTGCAAATGCTTATGACTGTATGGTTCTGCTGACCTGCAGCCAGGTTCCCCAACATTTTCAAAATAGTAGTAATAATAATAACTGACAAGATAATCGTGATTGTACATAAATTCTCTTTCTGAAAAACTGCACATAAATTCCTATCAAAGTGCTTTTCTTTCCACTAATGGTCCAGCATAATGCAGTTAAGCTATTGATACTTCATGTAATTAATCTCATGCATAAATATGTACTTTCCAGATTTACAGTAAATACTTGTTATCTATTTTTGTGATCATTGCTTGTATGGAAATGTTTTCACTAGTGGATTGAGATGGAGCTTGTCAGACTGCAGAAACTTGTGGATTTTGCTAACATCAAGGGATGGAGAAGAGAATATCCTTTTGGGACACAGACTTTATAACACAACCTGATTCTTTGGTGTTTCCTCTATAAGAAAGCAATTGCCAAAATGCTTTTGACCCCATCCAGTACCACATTTTCATTTTTCGTTTTGAATCTTAAATTTGAGATTCAAGCTATTGATATTTGGTATGCCATGTCGAAAATTTTTCTGGAAATAATGCTGCAATTTGCCTTTGAACTGTTTATACAGACATCAGCATTCGTGTCACCAGGTCTGCTATTTCCATAAATATAAACCTTAACATGATTTTTTTGCCAAGGTTGATGAGTATTTGGAACAAAGAGAACTGCTCAAAAAGCCGGAAGAGCAGGAGCGGTTGCTGAAGAAGTTGCCAACGATCATTTCCGAGGATCTCACACAAAGCGATCAGGATTCCAAAAACAAACTAGAAGTGAATGAGGGAGGGTAAGGGTGTTTTGTTGATACAAATTGGTCTGTTGAAACTGGAGATTTTTGTCTGCAGCTCTTTTGTAGTTAATTATATAGGCAGTATTATAGAAGTCATGGCATCCACTAGGAGTCTTTGGCTAGTGTTAGAACAAGTGTGGAAAATCTCATATTCAACAAGTATGTGCTCAAATTCTTTAGAATTGCAACTTATACTTGCATTGCTAATGTTTTGGATAGTCCATGTAAATTATTCTTCTGGATAGCTTTGTTTCTATATTTGGATATTTGAAGCTTGAATCTGGTGATCACAAAATGAAGATTTTAGTCGTGAACTGACTTCATAGTGCTATAGTTGGGTACTTTCCGATTGCTATGCCCTTTGTTGTAGCTAATTCTACACCATGCCCCATTGCTTAGCTTCTAGTTTTATGTGAATTTTGTCGTTTATCCTGTTAAATAATATTTTATTATTTTTTTTGTTGATGATGCATTTTCCATTGTGAATAACTCTGCAGCCTCCCATTTAGTATTACTTCTGTCCAATCTTTGATGTTAATATACAAGCTCCTTAGTGTATTGTTCTTAAATTTTGATGTTATAATTGTTTTGTTTCGTCGGATAGATGCCAAAGAATTAAAAAAAAGAAAATTTGTTGTAAATCACCAAGAGCCTTTTGCTCAAGTGGTAGAAGTTCTCTTTTGTAGGCAAAATGTCTTGAGTTCTCTATACAGTCGTGCTAAAGAATTGTAACCCTTGATGAAAAAAAAATTAAGATTATTGTAAATGGACGGACTTCAGTGATGAACTATGTTATGACCTTTCAAATTTTTTATTAATTATATATTATTATTCACATTCCTCCAAAATGTTTTCTTATTCTTTATTATTTGAATTTACAACTCTTCTACTTGTATTTGGGTTAATTTTCATTTAATTGTTAGTCAATTTTTAATATAAATTTCATATCATTTTAATATGAATAAATATAGTGATTATTATTTTTTGTTATATTAGTTTTATCTTAAATTTCTTGATGGTGATAATTTAGTTTATATTTTCTATAGTGCGTTTCAAATTTCTATAATTAGAAGATTCAAAATTGATTAGTATGTCCTAATTGTGAATGTTCAAATAAAAATTATTACTAGAAATAAGGTGAGGGTTGAATCAAATGATAACTTAAATGCATAATTTGTGTTCTAATTATGAATATATAAATATGAGAATCATTATTAGAAATTAAATTAGAGTTAAACTCTATAGTGTTAGTGCATTACATATTTCTTGAAAATTTATGTGGCTTTGGAAGAAAATTTGTTTGAAATATGCATTTGGAACTTCATTTCAAAATTTTATATATTGAGTTATTTAGTTGTAGTTTATTGTTTTATTGAGAAACCTTTTTGAATTTTAAGAATATTGAAAAGGCTATATACGTTCACAATAAAATTAGCTTTTAAAAAAAAAAGAGCTTATAGGTATTTTAATGAAATTTAGTTATTTTAAAAGTTCACATAATTTTTTATTCCAAACTTTTTTTACCAAGCCCTAAATTCTAAAATTGCAAAAACCCTAAATTCATATAACCTTAAAACATTTCAAATTTCTTCAATTGTGAACTTAAAAATCCATACAATCCTTAAATCTTGTCTTTTTGACCAAGCCATTGCAAAAATGCACTCAAATAAAAAATTAAGGCACATTTAAATAATAATAACAACAACAATAATAATAAAAAGTTAAGAGCTTTTAAATATTTATCATTTGGAGCTATAGCTTACATTTTACTAAAGTTATATGAGTATTTCAACTCTATCACATTAATTTTGAAGATAATTATGTGAATGTGGTAAATTATGGAGATTTGAATATAAAATTTTAATTCATTGAATTTTATTCGTCATATAACTATTTTTAATATCTGATTTTCTTGAATTTTATAATTTCATGGATTTAAGAAATTATTCAAAACATGCACTCAAGTGCCCAACTATGACATTCCAAACAACTGTCTTCTAATATTAATGTTTTGATTATCTTAATTTCATTACAAATATTATAACAAGGTATCTAATTTGAAGGAAAAAGTACTTCAAATTAATTTCTAATTTATATAATCTGTAATATTTCTTATACTTTAATTATTTACTTTTTAATGTAATTATTTCATTTTTTACTATTTATGTTGATTGAAAACAAATTATTATGATACTACTAATGACTGCTTAGCTAGATGAGTGATACACAATTTTCTTCTGAGACAAATTGTATTTATTATATGTATGAAGATTATATTATATTATAATTAATATCTATGTATGACATAAATAATATGAAACTCTATTCATATATTTGAAAGTTATTTTACGTTATGTTATAAATAATCACTTTTCATTTCATTAATTTTTTCTACAAAATTTTTAATAACATTTCTGTCTGTCTGAAATTTGTTATTTAAAAATAAAACCATCAATTTAATACTTTTATTTATCATTTCTAATTATATAACTTTGTCATGCACCAAAGAGGATCCGATCCTCTAACCACTCTTTGTTCTGCAGCCATGGACGGAACCCACCATCATCGTCGCTCTCAACCACGACGAAGTTCTTCCTCATCCTCTTCTTTTGCCACTTCAACAAGTTATCGCAGGACCTCATCAGTTCCATCGGAGATCACCGGGAATTCAAGCTTTACCCCTTCTACCAGACCTGTCAACGCCGCTCGCTTTTCAGGCATTTCCGATTCAATCTCTGAACGGAAACCTGGATTCAAACAAAAACCAGATATACTAGTAGAAGAAAAAAAATCAACTTGTGTTTCTTGTATAGTTGGAACCTGCCCCTTTATGTGCCCAGGTACGGGCATTCACTTGCCTTATAATCTACTTTGTAATTTTCTTTTTCAATTTTTACATCTGTTGTTTGGTTGCTGAGTAAAAGGGAGAATTAGAGGTGAGTTATTTTATGGCTGGTTCAAAGAAATCGTCAATTGTGGATGTGAGTATTGTGTTAATATGGCTTACCACGATGAACTATTGGCGAGTCACTTCTGTTATTGGCTAAACTTTAGTGAGTCAGCTTCGGTGATTGAAGTAGTCTGTTTGGGTTTGATTTCATTTACTATGCTCCAGATAGTAGTTATCTCACTCTAGGTCTTCTCTTTCTGCCCAAGATTGCAAAAGGAGTATGCATGTTCGTATTTAAACCTTTATCTGCTTGTGTGCATGTTCATGCGTGTTTTTGTGTGTAGAAGTTTCTGTGAGGAAGAGGTAGTGAAGATGAATCCAAAAACAGAGTTAGCAATGAAATTGTAAAGCAGCTAAGGGATTTTTAGCCTTTACCGTATCTTAATATGTATCCTTTATATGATTTTTGGTTTTGCGATTTGTAGAGGGTGAAAGGCTCCAACGCGAGCGGCTGGGGGATCTGTCTGTGTTTGAGAGGTTGAACGGGAATCCGAGGAAAACATCAGAAGACCTGGCTATCAAAAAGGTAGACTCAGTTCTTACATCTCTATATTTTATGTCTATTTTACCTTCTGGAACTGGCTTTGGTTGTACACTGCTTCAAAAAAACATTCTTTTCCAAGTCATTTTGCTGTATATTTAATCTTGTTTTACTTTTTCCTTATTTGGAATCTTTGCCAATACTATTTCCCATTTGTTACTCATAAATCATTATGAATTTCTCCCTGTACTTATCTTATGTCCGCAGCCTCCAGTGACATCATTTTCTTCCCGCACTGTTACTATTATACTCTCTAGTCTACTCTTATCTCCTGGAAAATCTGACTTCTATAATAAAATTCCACTGATCAAGCATCCAAAGGAGAAACTAATACCACAGGGAATTGGTATATACAGTTATGTGTGTGTTTGACTGCTTTAATATTGAGTGTCAACCTTAGTCTCCTAGCTTCTTTGTGGTAAAGTTTCACTCGTTTCTGGTCTTGTTTGACGTACAGACTATAATAGCAAACAAAACATGTTTCATTCTCTCTTTCACTTTCTGGAAGCCAATACTTTGGTTTTTTCTGTTGGAGCATCATAATTCTTGTTGGTAGTCGTATATGTTCTTGATGCTTAATTTGTAATAAGGAATCCTTAAATTTCTGCTTAAGCCATTGTAACAGATAAATCCTTTACATGATGGAACTGATTCACATTTTTCTTACTCTTACTAGTTCTGCAGAAATATATCAGCCAAGCATATACAGCTTTCAGATGTGCGGCCTCTCCCAGTACTGGAGAAAACTATTAGCTACCTTTTAGGGTTTCTGGATTCTGAGGAACATCCTTTTGAAGTGATTCATGAGTTCATCTTTGATAGGACAAGATCCATAAGGCAGGATCTTAGCATGCAGAATATTGTTAATGATAAAGCAATCTATATGTATGAGGAAATGGTATTTTTCTCATATAATTGCCTTTCTTTCTTTTCTAAAACAGAAAGTACATCTTGGAAAAAAAGTAGACTAGTTTATTAATTGTCTATCATGAGGTTCAGTTTTATAATTCATGCTATTATGGTTGGATTCTCTTTCTTTCTTTATTTTTATGTATACTTCGTAAGTAGGGGTAGAAGAGCCTTTATCACTACCATTAGCAAAAGGATCAGTTCCGCTACCTAAACTTGTTTTCTTTAATATGCTTTGAGACACTTATGCAACATATTTTACTCATGGTGAAAAGAGAGAAATATTAGAGCCTTTAAAAGACAGAGGAATATACAAACTGTAATTTTTGAGGTTTTATATTAAGTCCATCCTAACATTTTGTGGCCAAATGTTAAATGGATAATACCTCAAGTAACGCAAATATCACGTTTGCATTTTGGTAAACATTGAAATACTCTTACCTTTTTTTTGTATATATAATGCATGTGTTACCTTATGATCATGTTATAGGTATTTTTTGGATGCAATTTTGCATATGCTTGAGGCAAAGACGTAAATTTCAACAGTCTGTTTCATTGCCATTACTCATTTCCACCATGTTTTCTCTTTTTTCTTTTTCTTTATTAATTTTCTTGAACCAAGGGGATATAGAAGTCTCACGTTTTATCAACTTTTTGTAAGATGCTATCCAGAGTTGAAGTAAATATTGCACTACACACCCTTGGATATTGTGGTTATTTTTCTCTTCCCTAGTATTTTACTTATCCATTATATAATGCAGTCAACAATCAGCGTAGCAAGTTTCTGGAACCACAATGATTCCAGCCTCTTTAAGGGATAGTTGATGCACCAATAGATGTTGTGGTCACTTCCTATGTATTAGACAGTAGCCTCAAATCATTGGCTTTGTCCACATGTATAGTAATAACAAAGAATTATGATTATTCCTTGCCAATGTTACCTCAAAATTTATATCTTATTGTATTTGGATTTCCCAATAATTGAAAGGTTACTTTTTGAATTTGCATTCTAAGGCATGTATGAATAAGTAATCTGCTATTAA